GTGGATTAAGAGCTACAAGCCTGCGAGGACACAATTTCGACGCAGCAGTTATAGCGTGGGATTTGAAGCGGTCGAAGGCCAAAGAGAGAGGAGAGGAAGGGGAGAAAGGGGTGGGAAGGATGGAGGGGGGGGGGGATACAGAAACGGGTGGGGGTGGATATATCCGTAGAGTTATGGCTGGTATGAAACCCATAGCAAATGATGCAGGAATACGTGACTGGCAAGCGAAGCGTTGCACTGCATCGGGTCCGGCGCGGGCGTCCCGATGCCTGCCTGCCTGCCTGCTGTCTGCCTGCTGCCTGGCCGGCTCGATGTAGCTGCAATCAGCAACGAGCACCGTCCACGGCACCGAAATAAATTCAATAGAAATACGTTGCGCGGCATTACAGCATACGACAGCTAGGTCGCCGAGAGTACGTGCGCACATGAAAAGTTGGATGGGAGCTTGATCTTCGACCGCTGATCCTATCCTTCGATCGACCCTTTGAGAACGAAATTAATTTTACAGGATATCGGCTCGACAGAAATTGCCTATATATTATTCATCTGATTAATAAATTTGAATCGTAAATAAAATTTTATGTATAATGTAAAGTTGCGAAGAAAGTTAATTTTTATGAATCGGCTGATGTCGATTATGTATCATCGAATATTTAATATCTATATAGAAATAAATGTTACGCTGCGCGTCTATTATTATATATAACAAGAATTTATATAACATAATAGGATAATGTAAAAACGTAAATAGAGAAGTTATATTAATATAAACTAAAATTAATTTAATCAAAGTAAATCCTTGTCATAACTTTCATAAAATTAAAGCCACATGAAAACAAAGGCGCTCACATTGAACGCTAACGCTGATGAATGCTGATATATTCAATCAAGGGGATTGGCGTGATCTGCAGAAATGTCGTTTGAGAACGAAAAGGAGTAAATACAGTTGGCTGCGCATACCATCCACATGAAGCCTTATGGCAAACATATTGGATCATCGTAGATACGATATATCAGAATTCCACTCCCGTCTCGTCGCTGTCTCCACGTTCTCCATTAAATTTCGCGTAATAGGACCGACAAGATGTCGACTAAGCGGAGAAGCCCCCGCAATTTGAAAGGTCGATACTCGATTTCCGCGACACGACTTTCGTTTCAGAGTCTCTCTTGAAAAGAAAGTTACATTTTCGCAGCCGAATTCTTGCAGGTCCTTGAACGCGTAAATATTTGAGCTCATACGAGTAATGTAAAGTACGTCAAAAAAGTAAATTGCTTTTCATCGTTTTAAAGTTTTTTTCAGAGAATCTATTCTCTCTTTTCGATAACGAACTCACTCACGAATCTGTAATTGTTTTCTTTATCGAGGATAAACATGACAAATCATGTTGAAAGAAAATAAAACATTCATTTAATAATATTTCTTTCAATAAACTGTAATTCTGCATGCTGAAATATACATAGATTATAATAAAAAATACAAATATAAATATATTAAACTTTGTAACAACAAATGTTTTTCCTTTTATTTATAAAAAGAATTTTTTTTATTAATAAAAAAGTTGTGATAAATTAAAATTATTGCAACATTTACTGACGATATATCAATACGATAAAATATTTGTAATGTAATTATTTGTAATGTAAGTATTTGTAATGTAGATGCTTATGTTGCATTATTATAAAAGAGAAAAACATGGTAAATGAGGTGAATATGCCACACTTAAATGAAATTAGATTTTTGATTAATTATATTTAAAATCATTTTACATACTGATCTTTTTTCCATCCGTTATCTATTATTTGTGTACGATTGGAATCGAAAATTTTTATTTTTTATTATTAAAAATAAAGAAATACGGAAGTGCTGAAAAATAACATTTATTTTTTTTTTTTAGTAATAATCTGTAGGAACAGATTATTAGATTTTTATGATGAAAATAAACATTTGTAACATAATATAGATAAATAAGTAATAAATTAAGTACAACTTGTAAAATAAACTTTGAGACACGTTTTTAACAATAGAAATCTTTTATCTTTTTACGAACAGTCCTCGTGAATCCATCTATAGCAACAATTAGATATTATTCAATTATATTTTGGACCTTTTTTAAAAGTAAAAATATGTAATGTATATACGAAACATATAAATAAATATTTGTTTTATTTTATATTTACATAGTAATATAAGTAAAAATCGAAAGAAAAAGAGCTATAAGTCTAAGATTAATTGTTATAAGTAAATAAAAAGTAAATAAATAAATAAATAAGTAAATAAAAAGTAAATAAATAAATAAATAAGTAAATAAAAATTAAAAATGTTAATAAATAAAACTATCATTTAGTTAAATATAAACTTTAATATGGCGACAATAAACAAAACAAAACAAAAAACATCGTTTCGATCCATGTCGGATCATTATCAATGTTACAAGCAATGAAAATATTACAAAGAGAAGATACATAAAATTATAATTCGCTCTCGATCGCAGTATTAAAGTTATCGATAATATCGCTCAGCATACAATAGATATTAATCAGTCACTGTTGTTAACAGTGTATTCCTCTGGTAATTTGTTATGTACTTTAGAAAACCATAATTATTTCTGTTAAAGAGTACAGAGTATAATGTAAAAATATATTAGGAATAAGTAATAGTATACAATGTACTGATAGAAATAACAAATTAAAAAGCAAGGAATAAGAATACGAATAAAATAGTAATATATAACAAAGAAAGTACACTGAAGAATATTAATAAGAAGTTGTACGATGTATAAATTATATAATTAATTTAGTAGCAATTAAATTAAACAAGAATAAATATCTTACAAGTGTGTGCCAATATAAAAAAGTCGTCTAATCTTAGACAATGCGACGAGAGTGAAAAACGAGTTTCTCTCAGATGTTCAGAGACAATATAAAATCGACATTCTAAACGAGAAGATTGATGTGGTAAACTAGAAAAGAAGAGGAACATAAGAAGGGGAAAAATGAAGTAGAAGGAAAGGAAAATGGGGAGATGGGAAGTAAAAAGAGAAAGCAATTAAGAAAGAGAGAGAGATTGTATAAATAATATGTCTGTAAATAAGATTCAGGTAACGATTCAGTCTCATTTTGTTTATTAAGACTTTGTTTCTGTCTTTTGATGTCATTTGATTCATTTCAGACACTAATCTTTTATTGTACGAAGATTCGCTATCCAAAATTTTCACATCTTTCCATTTAAAATTGTGGTCAAAATTGATACGATGATCAGACAGTAGAAGAATCATTTTATATTTCTTAATATCAGAGATATGTTCGTACGAGAACTCGAATCTTGTATTTAATTTTCTTTTAGTCCGATCAACATATAGTTTGCCTCACAATCGTCACAAGAAATCTTATATACAACGTTCTGATTAGATAGGAGATCTAACTTGTCTTTTCCTCTCTTAATAAGACCTTTCAATGTGTTGGAGATAAAAAAGGCTACTTTGCAATGAAACATACTAGAAATAGGAAGGAAACTTTCGGAATTAGATTTGACGTAAGGGATTGTAAAATATTTATCTTTAACTTGTACATTACGTGTACTATGTCTATTATGTATATAGAAATTTAATCTTTGTTCAATTGTAGAGAACATAAATGAGAGAGGATAACAATTGTTTAAGAAAATATGAATATCAAATTTTTTTGCTGGAACCGCGGATGTGATAAAAAGACAAGTCTAAGTTCTCTACTAATTAAGAAAGTTCAATCCATTAAAATGGATTGAAACACTGTATTCTCTATTCAGAATTTTGAATTGAGCAATAAATTAATATAATACAATAATAAGCAAATAAATAAACATTTAAGTTTATTTATTAAGTATTTATCAATACGAATATTCTATCACAACGAAATTAAACGGTAAAACATTTGTTTATAGCGCCTTAACCTATATATTAGAGAAAATGACTACTGGCATTTTACCCTAACAAAAGTAGTGGCATATTTTACTCCAAGACGCCATTTCATCTTATGATGAGCCTATACAATACGGCTGTTAAGAAAATGAATCGTGTACTGAATAATTTCATTTTAATCTACATTAACAGATTAATAAGCTAATCGAACTAAATATTGTGTAATGTTTAAATAATAACTTACATAAGACACTATAAAAGTTTTAAGAAGCACATTTTCGTATACCATGCCATCATTTATCTCACATCATTAAAACAATATTTTTTCTAGGAAATTCTTGATACTTATGCAACACGTTAAGCACACAATTGTAAATAATTTTGTGGCACTAACGCGAGCTAATCGGTATATCATTGTGTTAAATATGTTAAACACAATGAATGGCATATTCCCCCAACTGGCCGTATTACCCGCAGTTACCCTATTTCTTGAGCTAAAAGTTGAACCGAGCTAGAAACAGTTTATTGATATAAAAATATCATGTCTATATTAAAGATGTATTAGGTGTACAGTCTTCAACAAAAAGGAACTAAAATTGGCAATGTATACTTTTGTATAAAAATAAATATTATATACACAATAAAACAGTTTGGTAAGATCAATTTATATTACAATTTTATGATTTAAATGAAAATTTTATCACTTTGTTGTAATTATTTTTTCCAAATATGTTTTCTTATTGAAATAATTTTTAATTCAGGTTGTAATCATCACAAAGTTTTGTATTTCATTCAAATACATAAGAAAAATCTGTAATTTTTAACTAATTTTTTTATTTTGTTAAAAAAATATTTGCAATACATCTAATTGCTTTAATGAGGTGAGTCATCTGGAGGTGTATGCTCAGGTTATAGAGCGAGAAAAAGAATACAAATTTAGTAATGTAACTAAAATAGACTGCATAATTCCCTATATGTAACGGTATATTACCTATGTAAGTGACCGAGAGAGTTTAGATAGAATTAAGAGATAAAACAAAAATATTTGTATTTTTACCTGATCTGCTTTGTGACACATTCTGACGACGCGTTTTCTTGTTGCAGTGAAGTACCTGCGGGAAGTGACGCCGTACTTCAGGAAGGCTTCGATCATCCAGGAAGTGGGCTGGGAACTTCAACGCGGTTTCCTGAGCGCGACGCCACCGCCGCCAAAGTCACCACCACGGGCGGATACTCGTTATCTGCCATTACAACTCTGCAGACTCACCAGAGCGCATCCCTCTTCCGATCCCGGTAAGTCTTAACACCGAAAAGTCGATGCGTGGTTTGAGCAGCTCGTCTACCATGTAAAGATTAATTCGTCGCTTGTGCGGTTGGATCTTTGAGACCCTGGCTATTTCCCAATTTGTTACAATCTACCTACATGAGGATTATCACACAAAACATTTAACTCAATGCATCTTTCATTTTAAAGCAATTTATTACCATTTAAATTTGACTTCTGCAAAGAGCGAAAAATATACGGAAAGAACGGTTTTATTAAAGAATCTAAAATTTAGCTGGACACAGGTCTGAAAATAATTTTGTTGGACCATCAAAATAATTATGCAAAACGTTTAAACGTTAATGACGATGCTACAAAAAGTTTTAACATTCTAGTAGCCAGTTTAGCGTCCTACATAATTATTTTGATGATCCAAACAAATTTTTTACACCTATATACAGTTAAATTTTTAGATACTTCAGCAAAACCGTTTTTTCGTGCACATACATAATAACATTTTCTTATTAAAAATGTGCATAGCATTTGTATAATTTTACACGAAAAGAACAGTTCTGTTGATAAATCTAAAAATTTAGTTAGATACAGATCTGAAAATAATAATTTTGTTAAATCATTAAAATAATTACGTATAAGGATTCTTAAACTGATAGATTGTTAGATTGTCAAAACTTTTTGCAGCATTGCTCATCGTACTTTTTACGAGGTTTTTGCATAATTATTTGGATAGAATAAAGTTATTTTTATCTATAACTAACTAAATTTTTGAATACTTCAGCCAAATCGATCTTTCCGTACATACATGCTTGTGATTTTATAATAATTTCAATATCATTAAAGCGATTGAAATTATTATATAATAATGACAGTACTTTTATCACTATCTATTTTGTCATATTTGAATGGACACGAAATATTAGCTTTACGAACTTATTAGCTTTTTTTGTAAACTTTTTAATCGGTTCTTATTGAAAAAAACCTTGATATTTTTATTTTGATATTTTGATTTCTGTTCCAAAATATCTTCGAAAATCTGTCATTAAGTAAATATCCGGCGATTTTTATACAATTTGTATTTATTAGAATTTGAAATTATATTTGTTAATCGAGCGACATCTTCAATTGTATTTCAACATTAATGTTCAAATCAACAAATCTTTCTTTAGCGAAACAAGAAAATGAATTAGGAGTCATTAGCTATAATTACTTTATTGAACTTCTCTTTTCTAAAGGAGTATTGAAGCGATTAAGGCGAGAGCCGCCGATTACTTCAAATTTAATCTAAAACTCGAGAATGTTCAAAGGAAAATAAACGTGAGAGAGGAATGGAAAACGCAAACGGATTGCGCGTTTTATCGTCTTGATTAACGAAGTAGTGCAATCTAGATCGCGGTTGAAGAGTTTAGGAGAATCGGGAGAGATCTCGTTTACCTATTTGCCAAGCGCAGCGACGGTGGTAAATGGCCTCGCGGCAGGATAAAAGTCCAGTCCTTCTATCGGAGACAGTCGTCTCCCTCCGTCTACGTAGTGATAAACTGAGGATGAGTTAGCACGAAGGGAATATCTCTCCCCCTTGGGCTCGTAGTGAGTTAATGAAAGGCGAATGGCTCCTTAATTCTGTAAAGCTTCTCCGTTCTTCTCTTCCCCGTTTACTCTAAGCACGCCATCTCCGTTCAGGGCCGCCCGTGCAAATTTTCATCTCTTGGGGATTGTTAGCAGTGTCCCATATGTGGCACGCAGTGGTTGTTTTATTTGGCCAGTTTAGTTAATGTCTCTATTATTACAACCGTATCGTTCGTTTACTTCACTAATAATCCTGTCTTGATTGTTAATTTTTATTTCATTCATGAATATACAATAAAAATTTTATAAGGAGAAATTATATATTGTATTGTATTATATAAGATTTTAAAAAGCTTAAAATAGTTAAAACGAGGGATATGCAAGTCTGAAAAATAGTAATTAAAGATTAATAATTTGTAACGTACCTACAATTACGTTCTTGGTCAAATATGTGTTTAATAAATTCTTCTGTACCTTAAGAATAATAACTGAAAACGAGTACGACATAAGCTATCGTATAAAGAAAGTAAGATAAAGTTAAAAGAACTTCTGAGATTGAAGAGTTAAATCCGATCCTGGGACTGTCCTGGACTGAAAGAAAAACCGCGAGAGAGAATAGCTGCGCTGTTAAGAGAGAAGAAGGGAAGAGACAAGTGTGGTCGGCGCGGGGTGGTGCCGAAAGGGATGGTGACAGACGGGGAATGGACAGTAAGGGGTAGCTGTAAGCTAAGAAACGCAATCAGAGACGTGCTATATCTCTTGCCGGCATCTCGCTAAGCCATGTCATAGAGTAACGCTTACTGATATTTTCGTGCGCTGATATTTCTTAAATCAATTTCGTAGCATCCACATTGCAGTATAAAAATTTTAACGCTAATCATAATGAAATTGCAATAGAAAGTAATTTAAATCACGTTTAATGATCTTAAGAAAATATTATCATTGGATCGAGAATGGAGTGTTCTTGTGTTAGATTAGATTTCTCGGTAATTTTCAATCGTTTATTACTTGTAACGATCTCGCGGACAGCGAATGTGCAGTCGGTGAACGATCTGGTCAACGGTAAATTTTACGGCCAATGCAGTAAATTTTATGTCGTTGCCGCGACGATGATTGCATTCATATTGCCTCGATCGATGAACATGAATGATAACAGAACGATAAATTGGATATACCTGCGCGCGCAAACCATCGTAATCCTTTTGCGTTAAAGTGTAGATAAAATCCCGATTGCCGAAAAATTTATGGTATTAGGAGGAAATTGAATGTTTTTAATATTAGGAGGAAATTGAATGTTTTTAGTATTTATAATTACATGTAATTTTTCATCAATTTACTACGAGGGAATCTCATAAAATGTCAAATTCTAATTTCAATGAAACTTTGTGTGTGTGTGTGTGTGTGTGTGTGTGTGTAACTGAATAACGTTTACTAATCATACAATGCTATTCCTAATAAAAAACTAAATCGAAAAGTCTACCATTTTGCAATTTTCGTAATAGTTAAGAGATATAAATTTCCAAACATTACCGAATAAACGGAAAAATTATAAAATCGATAAATAAGATAATTTTAAGATATTTTTCCGTGTTCTTTGTGAAATATATTAAAGATTTTTCTTAAAGAACTCTTAAAGAGATATCTTAAAGCTGTCTGATACGTTGATTGTAGACATTTGCTCATTGGGTAACTAAAAAAGAATATCGCGAAAATTATAAAATGGTAGAAGACTTTTCGTCTCAGTTTTTTATTAGGAATAGCACTATATGATTAATGGGTGTTGTAATGTTTCAGTTATACTCTGTATATACAGGTTAAGTAAACAGATGAATTTAGAAAATATTACCACTTATATTATTTAAAACAGTTTTCAACTTTCTTTGGTAAGATATAAAGATAAACTTTTGATATAAAGGTAAAAAAGTATATTTTATAAAAGCTTTCGTTATCAAAATCTTTGTTTATTTACATCAATAATATTTTTTGAAGATAATTATTTTCCAAATTTATATTTTTAAAGTTATTTTTACAAAGTATTATATTAACATAAATAAAGAAGTAATTTCACATTATAAAACTTTTATATAAATTATTGTTTGACATCTCGAATAATTTTTTAAATAAATAATAAAAAAGTTGAAAATTACTTTTTAAAGGGATTGTTTCACCCCTTAAAACCGTTTATTGGCCACAATTAATATTTTTTTAATTCATCTATTTACGTAATCTATATGTATAAAAGTTTTATTAAAAATTGAAATCTGAGTTCCTCGTAAGTATCTGGACCTATATTTGAACTTGCATTTGCATCTGGATAGCATCTACTCGCTTTGATTTAAATCTACTGCAACGCTTGCTTCTGTATTTGTACCTGCATATACTCAAGTATATCATATTGTTGAGTATGATGTTTGAAATAACGATAGTAAGAGATGACACTAAATGCTATGATGCAATGCTAGGTGCAAATGAGCACCTATATAGTGAAATGGCCTGTGGCAAAAGGAGAACAAAAGCATGTCAGAGAAGGGCGTAAAAAAATAGAGAAAGACGGTTTTGCTGCGTTGAATGCGCGTGTTTACACGATACCTGCGACCGCGAGCATCATTTTGCGGTTGAAAACGTTCAGTTACACTCGTCGCGCGTTGAAAACAAACAGGCGAGCCTGTATTCGTCGCCGTTTCGAAAGCTTGCTGGGGCTTTTCTAGATCATGAATTGCAAAAGCCGGTGTTCTACTAGCGGCTGTCAGCACAGCTTCGTAAATCGCTGAGATGAAAATGCACACGATGTTTCACATTTGACTTGGTTAAATGGGCATACTTTGGCAACAATGCGATAAATCGTATTATACAATATGAATAAACAAGTTTTATACTATTGATTTCACAAAATAATACGTTACTGAAACTCTTAAAATAAATTTTATCAAAGGTAGTTGTATTATACTGAATTTACATTTATTTATGGAATCTGTCTTCTAATTTTTTACATGTCATGCAGGTGCATATGTGTATGTATAATATAATTAAATAATAGAAGAGAGTTTCGGCAATGAATGCGTAATACTTAAAATTCTCTTTAATATATTTTCCATTTGATATTTATCTGTACGTAAATGAACATTGGAAATTATAGCTTGATGTTTCAGGCAGCTATTATTATGTTTAATTTATCACCAATAATTAAATTAATTAATTTGTTACAAGTCTTTTTATAATATGCTGATATCGCTAAAATTATTAAGCGATTTATTAAGCAATCGGCTGCTTAAATCGTACTTGTGAATCTCCTAAATCGTGCCTCCTTTAAAAATATGGAATTTATGAACGAAAATAATTAAAAATATAAGATTATTAAATAGAATTAACTAATATCATATATATTATCAGCTATATATTGTAAATAAAATAAATAAAAAAAAAATAAAAAATGAACATTAGTTATATC